GAGTAAATAAAGAAGAATAAGCAGAGAGAATGTGATAAAGACTGGGAGAAGATGGTGAACTGGAGTAAATAAAGAAGTATAAGCAGAGAGAATGTGATAAAGACTGGAGAAGATGGTGAACTGGAGTAAATAAAGAAGAATAAGCAGAGAGAATGTGATAAAGACTGGAGAAGATGGTGAACTGGAGTAAATAAAGAAGTATAAGCAGAGAGAATGTGATAAAGACTGGAGAAGATGGTGAACTGGAGTAAATAAAGAAGTATAAGCAGAGAGAATGTGATAAAGACTGGAGGAAGATGGTGAACTGGAGTAAATAAGAAGAATAAGCAGAGAGAATGTGATAAAGACCGGAGAAGATGGTGAACTGGAGTAAATAAAGAAGTATAAGCAGAGAGAATGTGATAAAGACTGGAGAAGATGGTGAACTGGAGTAAATAAAGAAGTATAAGCAGAGAGAATGTGATAAAGACTGGAGAAGATGGTGAACTGGAGTAAATAAAGAAGTATAAGCAGAGAGAATGTGATAAAGACTGGAGAAGATGGTGAACTGGAGTAAATAAAGAAGAATAAGCAGAGAGAATGTGATAAAAGACTGGAGAAGATGGTGAACTGGAATAAATAAAGAAGAATAAGCAGAGAGAATGTGATAAAGACTGGAGAAGATGGTGAACTGGAGTAAATAAAGAAGTATAAGCAGAGAGAATGTGATAAAGACTGGAGAAGATGGTGAACTGGAGTAAATAAAGAAGTATAAGCAGAGAGAATGTGATAAAGACTGGAGAAGATGGTGAACTGGAGTAAATAAAGAAGAATAAGCAGAGAGAATGTGATAAAGACTGGAGAAGATGGTGAACTGGAGTAAATAAAGAAGTATAAGCAGAGAGAATGTGATAAAGACTGGAGAAGATGGTGAACTGGAGTAAATAAAGAAGAATAAGCAGAGAGAATGTGATAAAGACTGGAGAAGATGGTGAACTGGAGTAAATAAAGAAGTATAAGCAGAGAGAATGTGATAAGACTGGAGAAGATGGTGAACTGGAGTAAATAAAGAAGAATAAGCAGAGAGAATGTGATAAAAGACTGGAGAAGATGGTGAACTGGAGTAAATAAAGAAGTATAAGCAGAGAGAATGTGATAAAGACTGGAGAAGATGGTGAACTGGAGTAAATAAAGAAGTACAAGCAGAGAGAATGTGATAAAGACTGGAGAAGATGGTGAACTGGAGTAAATAAAGAAGAATAAGCAGAGAGAATGTGATAAAGACTGGAGAAGATGGTGAACTGGAGTAAATAAAGAAGTATAAGCAGAGAGAATGTGATAAAGACTGGAGAAGATGGTGAACTGGAGTAAATAAAGAAGAATAAGCAGAGAGAATGTGATAAAGACTGGAGAAGATGGTGAACTGGAGTAAACGAAAGTTTCTGCGTCTCTTTCAGTCCCAATAAAAAATGAGTAAAGAGTAAAGAAGAGATAATGAAAAGATGGCTCCCACATGGCTCCCACATGGCTCCCACATGGCTCCCACATGGCTCTCACATGGCTCCCACATGGCTCTCACATGGCTCTCACATGGCTCTCACATGACTCTCACATGGCTCTCACATGGCTCTCACATGGCTCCCACATGGCTCCCACATGGCTCCCACATGGCTCCCACATGGCTCTCACATGGCTCCCACATGGCTCCCACATGGCTCCCACATGGCTCCCACATGGCTCCCACATGGCTCCCACATGGCTCCCACATGGCTCTCACATGGCTCCCACATGGCTCCCACATGGCTCCCACATGGCTCTCACATGGCACCCACATGGCTCCCACATGGCTCCCACATGGCTCCCACATGGCTCCCACATGGCTCCCACATGGCTCCCACATGGCTCCCACATGGCTCCCACATGGCTCTCACATGGCTCCACATGGCTCCCACATGGCTCCCACATGGCTCTCACATGGCACCCACATGGCTCCCACATGGCTCCCACATGGCTCCCACATGGCTCTCACATGGCTCCCACATGGCTCTCACATAGCTCCCACATGGCTCTCACATAGCTCCCACATGGCTCTCACATGGCTCCCACATGGCTCCCACATGGCACCCACATGGCTCCCACATGGCTCCCACATGGCTCCCACATGGCTCTCACATGGCTCCCACATGGCTCTCACATGGCTCCCACATGGCTCCCACATGGCTCCCACATGGCTCCCACATGGCTCCCACATGGCTCTCACATAGCTTCCACATGGCTCCCACATGGCTCCCACATGGCTCCCACATGGCTCCCACATGGCTCCCACATGGCTCCCACATGGCTCCCACATGGCTCTCACATGGCTCCCACATGGCTCTCACATGGCTCCCACATGGCTCCCACATGGCTCCCACATGGCTCCCACATGGCTCCCACATGGCTCTCACATGGCTCCCACATGGCTCCCACATGGCTCCTACATGGCTTCCAAAGTGGTGGCTCCCACATTTCTCCCACATGGCTCCCACATGGCTCCCACATGGCTCCCAAGGAGGTGGCTCCCACATGGCTCCCACATGGTTCCCAAGGAGGTGGCTCCCACATGGCTCCCACATGATTCCCACATGGCTCCCAAGGAGGTGGCTCCCACATGGCTCCCACATGCCTCCCACATGGCTCCCACATGGCTTCCAAAGTGGTGGCTCCCACATGTCTCCCACATGGCTCCCACATGGCTCCCACATGGCTCTCACATGGTTCTTACATGGCTCCCGCATGGCTCCCACATGGCTCCCACATGGCTCCCACATGGCTCCCACATGGCTCCCACATGGTTCCCACATGGCTCCCACATGGCTCCCACATGGCTCCCACATGGCTCCCACATGGCTCCCACATGGCTTCCAAAGTGGTGGCTCCCACATGTCTCCCACATGGCTCCCACATGGCTCCCACATGGCTCTCACATGGTTCTTACATGGCTCCCGCATGGCTCCCACATGGCTCCCACATGGTTCCCACATGGCTCCCACATGGCTCCCACATGGCTCCCACATGGCTCCCACATGGTTCCCACATGGCTCCCACATGGCTCCCACATGGCTCCCACATGGCTCCCACATGGTTCCCAAATGGCTCCCACATGGCTCCCACATGGCTTCCAAGAAGGTGGCTCCCACATGGTTCCCACATGGCTTCCAAGGAGGTGGCTCCCACATGGTTCCCACAAGGCTTCCAAGGAGGTGGCTTCCAAGGAGGTGGCTTCCAAGGAGGTGGCTTCCAAGGAGGTGGCTCCCAAATGGCTTCCAAGGAGGTGGCTCCCAAATGGCTTCCAAGGAGGTGGCTCCCACATGGCTTCCAAGGAGGTGGCTCCCACATGGCTTCCAAGGAGGTGGCTCCCACATGGCTTCCAAGGAGGTGGCTCCCACATGGCTTCCAAGGAGGTGGCTCCCACATGGCTTCCAAGGAAGTAACCTCAGCTTCTTCAATGACCATCTTCAGGACTCACGTTACAAAATTGGGTATCATTTTGCACACAGGGGCCATTCATGCCCATGTGGGTAGCGGGGGTCCTATGGTCCTTTTTGGGTGGATGGAGGAAGAGGGAGTCGGGAAGATAAGGTGATGGTGGTTGTCCCTCTATGATTCTTTTAGTGGGAGGGACTTCAGGGTTGTTTGATACGACGTGGTCTCTAAGACCATCTTAGTGGAGAGATTTATAGATTGAGAAATATGTACAAAGAGAGAGATATATAAGAGACGTATGAGGAGGTTACTCTAATGTCTCTTTAAGAAGGAGAAACACGGAAAATGGAGAGAGGAGGAGAGGGAGAAAGAGATAGATAGATAGATAGATAGATAGATAGATAGAGGGAGAGGAGAGAGAGAGAGAGAGAGAGAGAGGAGAGAGAGAGAGAGAGAGAGAGAGAGAGAGAGAGAGAGAGAGAGAGAGAGAGAGAGAGAGAGAGAGAAGAGAGAGAGAGAGAGAGAGAGAGAGAGAGAGAGAGAGAGAGAGAGAGAGAGAGAGAGAGAGAGAGAGAGAGAGATGACATGACTTGTCCAACCTTATGCTCTCTGAAGAGAAGAATCTTCTCTCATTACCTCCTTCCCTCCCTATTTCACTCTCTCCTTCCCTCTCCACCTCCCTTGTACCTTCCCTCTCTATTTCACTCTCTCCTTCCCTTTCCACCTCCCGTGTACCTTCCCTCTCTATCTCCCCGCCTTTCTTCCATGGTTGATGTGAAAGCCAAGTGTCCTATTCTTAATATTATAATTATTCACACATTTTTATGTGCTTTGAATCTCCTTCAGTCACTCTCAGAAGCTCAGAAAAGTCACTTTCATATGTTCACCAAAGTTACTTTCAGTAGTTCACCAGAGTCACTTTCACCTGCGCCTCTTGAACACCCTCCCCACTCCTTATATATGCTTCTGGCGTCGAATATTCCCACCTCTTAATTTTTTTTATCTTCCTAACAATGATCTAGCCTATGGTTCTTCTAGTTATTCTCCGCTAACCACTTCCTGGAACCATTGCTGACACCTTCTTCGTTGCCTTCTGCAACTATCACAAAGACTTTGGCTTCTTCTCTCTGCAGTCATGTGTCTCTCTCACTTCCTGGAACAGTCACTGAGGCGACTCCTTCTTAGTCACGCAGGGTCTTCTCCATTTTTAACTTCCTGGAACAGTCACTGAGGCGACTTCCTTTTTGTCATGCAGGTTCTTCTTCTTTTCATACATCCTGGAAATGCCACAAAGGCGGCTACTTTCTCTGCCTCCTACATGATCTATCAAGACTTCCTGAACTATCTTCAGAACGACTCTCCTTTGTCTTCTGTAGGTTCTTGCCACTTCACACACCCCACATCTACATATATAATAACCTATTTCGCTTCCTGGAAGGTCTTTCTCTTCTCTTCTTCCAGAAACAACTGCCACTGTCATGATCTTTTAGTCTTCTGAATATTCTCTCTCCTTGCCACTTGCTGAGAGTCACTAACAGCTGCTGCTCCTCCTCCAGGTTCGTGTCACAGCTCAGTGCATCCTACTCGTCTACGAGGATCCACTGTGAGAACATTCCTGGACTGGTGCGTCGCCAGAGGGTGCTGTGTAAGCGTCACCCTGACGCCATGCTGGCGGTGACGGAGGGAGCCATCCAGGGCGTCAGACACTGCCAGAAGCAATTCCAAGACGCCCGCTGGAACTGCTCCACAATCCCTAGAGACGCCTCCGTCTTCGGCAGACACGTCCTGAAAAGTACGTACGTGGCAGGCAGGTGTTAGAAGAACTGAGGTGTTTGTCCCCCTGTATCAGCCTGTCTCTTGCTCCAGTTATTCTCCTTATAATTCTCTCTTTATTTCTCATTGTATCTTCTCCTTACATCTCTCTTTATTTCTCATTGCTACATCTCACCTACTTTCTTGCTTTTATTTTTTTTTCATTAAATTTAGGTACAGCAGCATCCCCTTTCTTCTTCTTCTTCTTCTTCTTCTTCTTCTTCTTCTTCTTCTTCTTCTTCTTCTTCTTCTTCTTCTTCTTCTTCTTCTTCTTCTTCTTCTTCTTCTTCTTATATAATTATAAATGTTTTCTTTAAGAATGTTACTGAAAAATATTTTATTGGACATTTTGATGTTGAAAATTATAAGAGTCCAGCGCGCCTGCGCTCCCTCCCACACTCTCTTCCACCCACCTGCCTCCTGCATTCCTCTATCTCCCACATTCCTCCCTCCCATTCACCTTCCCTCCCTCATACTTTTCATTCCATCCTCTTACCTCCCTTCTTTTAGTATAACCCCTCCTTCTCCCACATATCCCCTCCCTCTCTCCCTCCTTCCCTCCTTCCCTCCCTCCTTCCCTCCCGCTTTTCCCTTGCGACGAGACCCCTCAGGTGACCTGGAGGTTGCGTCTCATACTAGGTGACCTTTTGGTGGTGTTGACAAGGTGGTGGTGTTGACAAGGTGGTGGTGTTGACCAGGTGGTGGTGGTGTCACAAGGTGGCGGCGTTGACCAGGTGGTGAAAATGACCAGGTGGTGTTGGTGACCAAGTGGTGTTGTTGACCAGGTGATGTTGTTGATCAGGTGGTGTTGTTGACAAGGTGGTGTTGCTGACCAGGTGGTGGTGTTGACCAGGTGGTGTGATGTTGACTAGGTGGTGTTGATGACCAGGTGGTGGTGTTGACCAGGTGGTGTGGTGTTGACCAGGTGGTGTGGTGTTGACCAGGTGGTGTGGTGTTGACCAGGTGGTAATGCTGTTCCAGCAGGTACGAGGGAGGCGGCCTTCGTGTACGCTATCAACAGTGCTGGTGTTGTCCAAGCCATCACCCGAGCTTGTTCCAGAGGCGCCATTACTAACTGCGCTTGTGACCTTAACAAACAGGTAAGTCCATGACCTTAAGACCTTAATTAGCAAACGCGTACTGACTGTTTTACGGTAGCATAAATTAGGTAATAGGTTGTACTCAGGTTAGGTGGTATTGTTAGGTTACCCATGGTTAGAACAGATATATTTCGGTGGCTTCACGCACGGTCTAAGATATCCCCGTACTGTATAACCCCAGTCACCTCTACCTTAATGCATACGAAAGGTATAGTGTAGAGTGCAGCATAAGTTTGCACTGCAGTTAAATATTAACGTTGTGGATTGAGAGAGAAAGGGAAGAGACACTAACAAGTTATCACATGGAAATTAACATTTAAATTTCTTTAATAAAAATTGACTAATTAGGACATACACAGAACAATACAATTTCAAATTTTTCACCAAGACAAGATTTAAAAGTTTAAAGCCAAACTGAAGAGGCGTTCTGTAGTTATCTCACAAAGATCAATATCCCATAATATATCAACACTAAGTTAGGAGCATCTCAAAAGTTGCATTATCAAGTTACTGGAATGAAAGTTTGAAGCCAATCGGATGAGGCATTCATAAATTATCGTGTCAAAATCAGTATTTCTGTTTCCCAGTTTTTTTTAATAAAAAATGACAATTATGGACCTAGACAGGAAAAAAATCAATCCATTTTTTTCAAAGATGAACCAACGATTAAGGTTCAGTAACTTTTATTTAACCTTGAATATATGACGAATATTTTACATAAGAACGTAAGAACGGAGGAGCACTGCAGCAGGCCTACTGGCCTACGCTAGGAAGGCAGATGTCGCGGGTACATACAATTTACATTATATAGATATAAACTACAGTAACTCAGTAAAGTCGAACACTGACTTCTCTCATCAGTAAAGTCGAACACTGACTTCTCTCATCAGTAAAGTCGAACACTGACTTCTCTCATCAGTAAAGTCGAACACTGACTTCTCTCATCAGTAAAGTCGAACACTGACTTCTCTCATCAGTAAAGTCGAACACTGACTTCTCTCATCAGTAAAGTCGAACACTGACTTCTCTCATCAGGAGAGACATTCTCCAGGTCTTTAATGAAACAATTTGGTCAATATAATAAAGATTAAGTTACCTTAGAGAGAAAAAAACACATAATAACTGTCATTGAAATTATTATTAAAAGTTAAGAAGTGATTTATGAAGTTGTAGACAGAGTTACTTAGGAAAATAGTGGCGCATATTTTTGTATAATATTGATAAATATGTAGACTTAGAGGCTATACTAGATGTGTAGTCTCTAAGACTGTATATTACAGCATCACTACAATGGTGTATCTCCACTCTTAGATTGCTACACAAAGTATATTTGTCACTGTTGCAGGGCAGCCAGAGGGACCGTGCGGGTCAGTTCAGCTGGGGCGGGTGTTCCGATAACATCCGCTACGGCACCGCCTTCTCCAGGAAGTTTATCGACGCCAGGGACCGACGCCAGAGAGACGCCAGAGCACTTATGAATCTCCACAACAACCGTGCAGGCCGCAAGGTCAGGGAGGAGGGGAAGGGGGGAGGTGCCTAGTAGCAGGAGAAAGGGGGCTAAGGGTCGGGGAGAGAAAATGGAGTAAGTAGTAAGGAAAGGGGTAGGAATAATAGTGAAAGAAGAGCTATGAGTAATGAGAGAAGGTAAGTAAATTTAGTGGTAAGGGAAGTTTAATTAGGTGTGGGGATGAGGGTAGAGGGGTAATTAGGTAGTGAAGGAGGGGAGACAAAGGGGCGAGAGGTTGAGGGGAGAGGGATCTGAAGGTAGGGGTGACGAAGACCTTAAAGGTCAGAGAAAGTGGAATAAGAGAAGGAGCGTGTACATGAATGACAAGATTGAAGGGTGAGCCATCTTTCTAGAGAGAGCAAGATATTGTTGGTAATACTTAGATGGTGTCACAGATATTGTTGGTAATACTTAGATGGTGTCACAGATATTGTTGGTAATACTTAGACGGTGTCACAGATATTGTTGGTAATACTTATATGGTGTCACAGATATTGTTGGTAATACTTAGACGGTGTCACAGATATTGTTGGTAATACTTATATGGTGTCACAGATATTGTTGGTAATACTTAGATGGTGCCACAGATATTGTTGGTAATACTTAGATGGTGCCACAGATATTGGTAATACTTAGATGGTGTCACAGATATTGTTGGTAATACTTAGATAGTGTCATAGATATTATTGGAAATACTTAAATACTTGTAGTGTCGTAGATAAGAAAAAGGTTTGGTTTACGAAAATTAGACACAATTTAAAGTGCTGATGGTGTCTTCTTGCAGGCTGTAAGGAAGAAGATGCGTCTTGAGTGCAAGTGCCACGGCGTTTCCGGCTCCTGTACCGTCAGGACCTGCTGGCAGACCATGGCCCCCTTCGGAGCCACGGCTCGCTGGCTCAAAAGCCGCTATGACGGAGCCACGGAGGTCAGCGTCCTGCCTAATGGTGCTGGTCTTGTTCCCCGTCACGGAGACCACAAGAAACCCAGGAAGAAGGACTTAGTCTACCTTGAGCCTTCACCTGACTACTGTGACGCAGATGTCTCCTCAGGTAGGCGAGAGAGAGAGAGAGAGAGAGAGAGAGAGAGAGAGATAGATAGATAGATAGATAGATAGAGAGAGAGAGAGAGAGAGAGGAGAGAGAGAGAGAGAGAGAGAGAGAGAGAGAGAGAGAGAGAGAGAGAGAGAGAGAGAGTATTAACGTGGGCTAAATTGCTACTAACTTGTTGAAAATGGTATAAAATACCTACAAGTTGAAGATTAAGATATGTACATGTGCAACACTTGGGTATCTTTATTGATGAAACGCTTCGCCTACACAGAAGGCTTCTTCAGTAAAATACAAAGGGAGCAGTAGAATTGAAAGCTGAACTCTTCTCCAGGCTGAGGGACTGACTTCCTTAAATATTTTTTCTCCAAGGATGATGGACTGATTACATCATCTTTATTTCATTTCCTATTGCTCCCTTTGTATTTGACTGAAGAAGTCTATTGTGTAGGCGAAACGTTGCATCAGTAAAGATACCCAAATGTTGCACATGCGTCTTAATCTACTACTAACTTGTACATCACTAGTTTTCCTTGTCTTTCCCCAGGGTTCACGGGCACTGGAGGTCGACAGTGTAACCGCACTTCCAAGGGTACTGACGGCTGCGACTTACTGTGCTGTGGTCGAGGTTACGACACCCGCAGGCGGCTCATCAGCACTAAGTGTGAGTGCAAGTTCCAGTGGTGCTGCTCCGTCGACTGTAAAACCTGTGAGTCGTGGCAAGACCTTCACTTCTGCAAGGCGTGGCAGGAACCCTCACCTCGTGTCTGACCTGCCTATCACCTACTCTTCCGTGTTTGACCTGCATATGGCCCGTTGTTACCAAGTTTTCCTAATAAACAGGATTCGTCAGCCTGTACAGCCAGCACAGGGGCCGTCACATAGTATTTGACCTACACATTTCTTGAGCACTAGAGATCTTATTACCTATTACTTCTTGGGAGTCTATTTTCTCAGACTATAACATGAAACCTGTGTAAGACTGGCTCTCGTCGACATGTTAGTCATCCCAAGGCTGACCTGCTCGTTCTCATGGCTCTGGCACTCTCTTCCTAATTTACCATTTAGAGATGCATTCTGATTAATAATAAGACAACAAGTGTCTCATTCTTCAACTTGTCGGTTTTTCTAAACCATTACAACTCACGTATTTGGATCTGCAAGCCAACATGTTCTCAAGATTCGTGCGTGTCCCTGAGGCAATTTGCAAAATGGATCAGAGGTGAGTGGAAAATGACATGAACGCATTCACTCAGGACACTTTTACTGAGCCTCTATCACTTCATATACATGTCCCAAGGTCCCAAGACTTAAATGATTTACATAAACATGTGTCTTCTCACTACATGGGCCAGGGAACGGATGGGGTTTAAACCAATGGCAAGAGAGTGCTGAACTTCACAGGCCAGTGTGTTAACAACTTTGAATATACAAGGACAAATAGTCTTGGATCATGTACTTCAACTCTAAGAGCAGTATTCTGATGCCGTGGATGTGTAATACCAGACACAAGAATATTTCTTATACCAAAATATAAGTAACCGGGAAAAATGATGAATTAATAATTCAACGTACAACAAACACACGCATTTGAAGTGAGGTTGATAAATTAGACCCATGTACAACACTTGAGTGTTTTTATTGTGGAAACGTTTCGCCACACAGTGGCTTCATCAGTTCAATATAAAGAAGAATGGTGAAGGACAGAAGGAGTTTGAGGCAATCAGTCCCTCGGCCTGGAGTCGATGTGTTCAGTCCATCAGTCCATTGATGGACTGAACACATCGACTCCAGGCCGAGGGACTGATTACCTCATTCTCCTCCTCTCCTTACGCCTTCCTCTTTGTATTGGACTGATGAAGCCACTGTGTGGCGAAACGTTTCCTGAATAAAGATTCCCATATGCTGCATAAGTGTCTCAATCTTCAACTTGTCGGTTTTTCAAACCATTCATCACACACAGGCTGAAGCACAAGTTTGATTCTTTTTTTTAATTAATGCGGATAACAGCCCTGGAAAATCAAATATAATCATCTTGTAAGTTTTAAACAGGGATGTAATTCCCCATTAATCTATAATCTCATGGGACGAAGACAAATTATTAAGTAGTGTCTCGTTACACTTACGTTGTACACTAAATTAGTCCTTATATGTCTCGTGTTGTGTGTCTCCATCTCTGCCCAACCACAAGAGGGATAGACTCGCACAAGCTCTCATCCATCTTCAACTATTTGGTTCCTTCCTGTGGTTCTTCCAGTCGGCCTCAGCGGCAGCACTTGACAAGTTTGGTCAGATCCAACTACCATGATAATCGTATTTCCAAACTGGAAACGGAAGCTCGGCGACTTTTCAATTAACCATAGACCATTATCAGATCCCTTGCGTTTTGATTGTGTTTCAACTTAGAGTGAAAAGTCGTCGAGTTTCGTGAATTATTTCAGTTACAACATTGTGACTCTCATGCTTCAGTGACCTGTGCTTCCGTAAGTGATGCATCTCATACATATTAACTTTGCTTTCGAAATTAGTAAACCAGTCATACACACACAAACACACACACACACACACACAACACACACACACACACACACACACACACACACACACACACACACACACATATATATATATATATATATATATATATATATATATATATATATATATATATATATATTTTATATATATATATATATATATATATGCAAAACAACCACTCTGAAAGAATAGAGAAATTCCAAGCGCTTTCGTGACTACTCACATTATCAAGGAACTATGAAAGTAAAGCATCCAAGGAAGCTATATAAGGGGTCTGGCCAACACCTCATTATCAGATCCCACAACGGTTAAACACGTGACGCGCGCCGGCCCAACTGGACAGGTCCTTTACACAACCCACCAACAAACTATTCTACCCAAGAAAATTTAAAAATTATTATTTGTCCAGTGTATTATTAAATTCTTCCCAAATTCTATTAATTATAAATGGATCTAATTTATATAAACCAAAGGAAATATTCATATTATTGTCAAAACTGCTTTTTATGAAACAAGATTCAATTATATTCCTGTCGACCATGGACTTGCTTGATACTACTTTCTCAACTTTTTGAAAATCAATTGGATGGTTAAAATCTCTTACATGAATAAATAGAGCATTGGAATCTTGTCCAGTTCTAATGCTATATTTATGTTGTTTTAATCTTAGTTCGAGATTTTTACCAGTTTGACCGTAATAAACTTTATCGCAAATTTTACAAGGAATCTTATAGACACATCCATCAGCATTTTGGGGGGAATTCTTTATCAAAAGTTTTTTTACTGTATCAAGATTTTTGAATACAACTTTAATATTAAAAGTCTTAAGAAGAGAAGGCATATTAACCAAGTTTTCATGGTAAGGGAGAACCAACATATTTTTAGTTGAATAAGGCTGGTTGTTCCTTTTTGGATTGTAAAAAGTATTTCTAGCAACTTTAAAAGATTTACCAATTACATTTCTTGGGTACAAATACACTGGACAAATAATAATTTTTAAATTTTCTTGGGTAGAATAGTTTGTTGGTGAGTTGTGCAAAGGACCTGTCCAGTTGGGCCGGCGCGCGTCAGGTGTTTAACCGTTGTGGGATCTGATAGTGAGGTGCCGGCCAGACCCCTTATATAGCTTCCTTGGATGCTTTACTTTCATAGTTCCTTGATAATGTGAGTAGTCACGAAAGCGCTTGGAATTTCTCTATTCTTTCAGAGTGGTTGTTTTGCATATTCTAAAATCACCTGTTTACTGTGATCTTATTGCATATATAGAATATATATATAATATATATATATTAATATATAATATAAATAATATAATATTTTATATATATGTTTAAATATATATATTTATAATTATATAATATATATAGAATATAATATTTATATATATAATATATATATATATCAATATATATATTAAAATATATATTTTTATATATTAGATATATATATATATATATAATATATACAATATATATATATATATATATATATATATATATATATATATATATATATATATATATATTATATATCATTGCTGCAGCAACTTTTATGATGACAGGAACCCATCTCCCAATGGACATATTATCTCCCATTACTAGCATCATCTCCCAGTACTAGCATCATCTCCCAGTACTAACATCATCTCCCAGTACTAACATCATCTCCCAGTACTAGCATCATCTCCCAGTACTAACATCATCTCCCAGTACTAGCATCATCTCCCAGTACTAACATCACATCCCAGTACTAACATCATCTCTCAGTGCTAGCATCATTTCTTAGTACTAGCATCATCTCCCAGTACTAACATCATCTCTCAGTGCTAGCATCATTTCTTAGTACTAGCATCATCTCCCAGTACTAACATCACATCCCAGTACTAACATCATCTCTCAGTGCTAGCATCATTTCTAGTTACTAGCTATCATCTCCCAGTACTAACATCACATCCCAGTACTAACATCATCTCTCAGTGCTAGCATCATTTCTTAGTACTAGCATCATCTCCCAGTACTAACATCATCTCCCAAAACTAGCATTATCTCCCAGTACTAGCATCATCTCTTAGTACTAGCATCATCTCCAAGTACTAACATCATCTCCCAGAACTAACATCATCTCCCAGTACTAACATCATCTCCCAGTACTAACATCATCTTTCAGTACTAACATTATCTCCCAGTACCTACATCATCTCCCAGTACTAACATCATCTCTCAGTACTAACATCATCTCCCAGTACTAACATCATCTCCCAGTACTAGCATCATCTCGCAGTACTAACATCATCTCCCAGTACTAGCATCATCTCCCAGTACAAACATCATCTCCCAGTACTAACATCACATCCCAGTACTAACATCATCTCTCAGTACTAGCATCATTTCTTAGTACTAGCATCATCTCCCAGTACTAGCATCATCTCCCAAAACTAGCATTATCTCCCAGTACTAGCATCATCTCTTAGTACTAGCATCATCTCCCAGTACTAACATCATCTCCCAGAACTAACATCATCTCCCAGTACTAGCATCATCTCTTAGTACTAGCATTATCTCCCAGTACTAACATCTTCTCCCAGAACTAGCATCATCTCTAGTAAGGCTGATACGACGCTCGTCTGAATTAAGTCAAAATATTCTGGCATTACAACTCATTGTTCAGAATGTTGTAATATCCCGGTGTTCAGATTGTACATAATACTCGGTGTTCAGATTATATCTTGTCCGTGATGTTTAGAACACAAGCCTCCTACAATTTCTCGTAGTGTGTTGTGTGTGCTCCTATGTGTCTCTACACTTATCAGTGTGTGTACATTAACTTATCAGTGTGTGTACATTAATCCGAGTGCTTGTTTTCCCCCTGAGTGTACGCCACCTGTGTGTACACGAGCCGTGTGCACACCTACTTGAGGTAGTGTGTACATACCAGCCCTCTATACACTGTGTGACTGTCACACCTCTTCTACCTTAGTCCTTCAACACCTCTCTACAACACTTCTCTCTCTCCCTCCAACACCCCTCTCCAACACTTCTCTCTCTCCAGCACCTCTCTCCAACACTTCTCTCCCTCCAATTCCTCTCTCCAACACTTTTCTTTCTCCAGCACCTCTCTCCAACAGTTCTCTCCCTCCAATTCCTCTCTCCTACACTTCTCTCTCTCTCTCGCACCTCTCTCCAACACTCCTGTCCCTCCAACACTTCTCTCCAACACTTCTCTCTCCCTCCAACACCCTTCTCCAACACTTCTCTCTCACCAACACTTCTCTCCAACACTTCTCTCTTCCTGTAACCCTCTCTGCCCTCACATGTAATCTATTGCTGTAGTCGTCTGTAATTGGTTACAGCAGTCACAGGTAACCTGTTACCGTCATCTGCTGTAACTTAGTAATATATTAAGCTGTAACCTGTTACAGTAGTCTGCTGTAACTTGCTACAGTAGTCTGCTGTAACTTGCTACAGTAGTCTGCTGTAACTTGCTACAGTAGTCTGCTGTAACTTGCTACAGTAGTCTGCTGTAACTTGCTACAGTAGTCTGCTGTAACTTGCTACAGTAGTCTGCTGTAACTTGCTACAGTAGTCTGCTGTAACTTGCTACAGTAGTCTGCTGTAACTTGCTACAGTAGTCTGCTGTAACTTGCTACAGTAGTCTGCTGTAACTTGCTACAGTAGTCTGCTGTAACTTGCTACAGTAGTCTGCTGTAACTTGCTACAGTAGTCTGCTGTAACTTGCTACAGTAGTCTGCTGTAACTTGCTACAGTAGTCTGCTGTAACTTGCTACAGTAGTCTGCTGTAACTTGCTACAGTAGTCTGCTGTAACTTGCTACAGTAGTCTGCTGTAACTTGCTACAGTAGTCTGCTGTAACTTGCTACAGTAGTCTGCTGTAACTTGCTACAGTAGTCTGCTGTAACTTGCTACAGTAGTCTGCTGTAACTTGCTACAGTAGTCTGCTGTAACTTGCTACAGTAGTCTGCTGTAACTTGCTACAGTAGTCTGCTGTAACTTGCTACAGTAGTCTGCTGTAACTTGCTACAGTAGTCTGCTGTAACTTGCTACAGTAGTCTGCTGTAACAGGCGGGTAAAGATCTTTGTAGTATGTGAAGATAAATATTTTTTGGTCGATATAATTTAACTATTTTGTGTCCATGTCTAAAAGCATCTATGTCTAAGAGT